GGTTGCCATGGGCTACTATGTGTAGCCAGCAGCCAGCGTGAGCAGCCAGCATGAGCGGCCAGCAGCCGCAGTGAGTGGCCGTCCAGAAGCCGGCGACTGATCTGCCTTGCCTGGGAAGAGCGCAATGATGGTGTCAACTTGGGCCAGTGAAGCAACGTCCTCCACAACTAGACTGAAGAGCAAAAGGACAGCAATTTGTCTGTTCCCCTCCCTCAATTCCTCAATAAAAACCTTAAAAAAAATAAATAAAATCAATGAACTGAGTGTTTGAATTGAATGCTTACTTTTAGCACTGTTCTGTGTTTTAAGCGATACATTTATTTGTATATTTTTAAGAACTTAGAATAATTGAGTGTGTATTGTGTACCAGGCATAGTACTATAGAATTACTTATATGATATTATCATAGATCAAATGTTCTCACTGAAAGAAGTAGGAGTCCTCTTTTGCCTCATACTATAAAGGCCATTAATAATCCGGCTTCTCAACTACAATTTGTTTATTGTCCCTTGGCAAATTTTCCTCCCGTTTTTCCTTCGCTCATGTCTTTCAAAACCTATTCATTCTTCAAAGTCTAATTTCAGTTTTGCCTCTTCCTCAAAGCTTTCCCTAACCTCTTCCACACAGGATGCCTCCCTTCCTCCTTTTAGCAGGAAGCCCTTGTTATCTGCAATACTCAGGCACTTATCATATATTGTTAGTGCCATCTTGAGTGGTGCTTGTGTGTATTGCCTGGCTTTTCACATGAGCACATGCTCCCTAAATAGACTTTTTTTTTTTTGTAAAACAAGTACTATAAGTCTGTGTTATGCAACTCATAGTGGAAATTCAACTAAACTTCTGGCTGTTACCTTGCATCTAAGAAGTAGACTCAAATACACGTAGAAGAATTAAGACTTGGGTGTGTGCCTAAGAATGAAAAATGATGCTCAGCTTTGTTGCCTGGAAAAAAGAAGGTGTATGCTCATATGATGTTTCATATTCAGGGCGCAAAGCATGCTTTCCTAATATGCGGTGTAGGCAGTAGCAACTCCCACCCACAACAAAACCTTTTTTTCACCTGTTTTTCCCTCTTTTTATCGCTTCTATTTACAGGCCAACTATTGGCTTTCTCACTGAGCTATAAACATGCTTGATGAATAAACTGTATTTTTGTTTTACGCAGCAAAAATTAGAAGTCTTTTCTGCACAAGTATAAAGTAGCCTCCTTGGGAGGTATTCTGTGCTGTCTATCCTGTGACCAACTTTTCCTGGGGCTGAGCTGAGGTCAGCATCGTTTACATAGGTATACTCTTAGAGTAATATCTTGTATAGAACTCTTTTAGATTAAAATAACAGCAATCCAACTAAAAAGGGGAATTTTTCATGGAGATATGAGATTGTTTCACAGATGAGAAAACAGTTGGCCTCCAGGTACCACATGGTCTCTTACCTTTACGTAATTCTACAGGTCTGCTTTATTCTTTTCTCTTGTTGCAAACTAGCTTCTGCTTTTTCTATCCATATACCAAAGATGGGCTAACAGCTTCTGAGTTTGACTTCCTAGAATCCAAGTGTACACAGGAAGATTGCCTTGACACATGCCCCAATACCTGAAGAAGAACTTTAACTGCTCTCTTGGGCCAAGGAGTCTATTTCTGAACTGACAAAATGTGGTCAGACATGGAATGATATTTTACTTTATTGTATTTCTGGGTTAATCATTTGGCAAGAGGGTGGTAGGGAGGGTCTGTTGCCTAGAGGAGGTATGATGGACAGATCAAAGATTAGAGGTTTGCTACACTGTATATGTGTATAGAGGTGAAGAGTCTATAAGCCCCTTCTCATATGTTCTCCTGTGAGCTTCGTGACAGTTGAGTACTATAGGCAAGACAAGAGCTACTGGTTCACAGCTTACACTAGAGGGCATTAAAATGTTCTTAGAAACTAAGTGACTTGTGCAAGATACACAGCTAAGTAGTAAATTGTCATTCTTTATCCAACAAAGCCCATCTTTCAAAATGTTCCTGAAATCCCACCACCTTCTTGGAGTTGATGAACATGAGAGGAATACCATCTTAGCTTGTCTGCTCTAGAAAAACGAGCAATTCCAGGGAAGGGTAATTTCAGGGAAGCAAGAATGAGGGAAAAAGAGAGTGAGGGAGAGAAATAAAGAAAGAAAATATAAGGGAGTGGGCTACTGAGCAGGTCACAATTTTGAAATAAGCTGATAGCTTTTTATCGCAGGATATTTTCAGAGAGGCTGTTTGAGCTACCGCGTGTGGTTCAGTGGCAGGGGGAGAAGGGGGAGGGGAGGAAGAGAGGAATAAACATTTATTCACTGGCATCCATTGCCCTTGGTCAAAGTTCAGGCCCCAGGGAATTAACTCACCAACATTTCTTGTTGTATGTGCTTGGAGACAGCAGGACCCGCTGGACAGCCGAGAAGTCCTAGGGTAGAAGGACTACCTTCTACCTTCTCAGGTCATATATGAGAGTGACATGAGGGACCCGAGGCAGCCATGGAAGGAGAATGGCTGACCCAAAATCATCAGTAACAATGAGCAGCTGGCTGCATGGTCTAAAGTGGGGGTGGTGACACCGGTTTCCCAATGAAGGCTGACTTCAAGGACACCTCTCCTATTTCACCTCAGAAGTGATCTATCTGGTTTTTTTTATGCCCACACCATTCGTCACATGAGCATATAAACATTTAACACAATTATGTATTCATATTTTTTTCCTCTCCTAAAGAAGAGTTTTGTGAGGTTGGAGTACTGGTAATTCATTGATTCATAGTTTGTCAAGTACCTACTATGTGCTGAACATTATTTTAAGTGCTAGGGATAGAATAGTGATAGACACAAATTTTTAACTTTTTGAAGCTTACATTTTAGTGTGTGTGTGTGTAGAAACCAATAAAGAAATAAGTGAAAAATATATTGTGTTAGAAGGTGGTAGATGCTTTGGAGGAAAACAAAGCAGGAAAGTTGGAGAGGAAGAGCAGGAGTGGTTGTTGGGGTAGCAAATTAACTAGTGTGGGTAGGGAAGGCTTCACTGAGTGAGGGACATTCTAGAAAGAACAGATTTGGATAGTTGGGGGGAAAAGTTCCAGAGATAGAGAAAAGCAAGTGCAAAAGCTCTAAGACATCTGGGTGTTTTCCAGGAAGAGCACGGAGGGCAATGTGACCATAGCAGAGGGAGAGGTTGATGAGAGAGGAGAGAGGAGATGAGGTCAGAGAGTTAATATGGAGCCAAATATCTTAGGACAATGAAATGACTTTGGCTTTCACTTGTGGAGGGGTGGGGAAGCAGTTGGGCTTTGGAGCACAGAAGTGATCTCACTTACATTTCAATAGGGGCACTCTGTCTGAGTTAGGCAGCTACTGAGGTAACTCAAGTGAGAAATGGTCATTGTTTGGAGCAAGATGGTAGCAGAAGAGGTGGTGAGAGGTGGTGATTCTGGTTTAAAGATGGAGCTGATAGGATTTATGATGGATTAAAAAGGAGATATGAGAGAAAAAAGATGATTCCAAGTGTTGAAGCTGAGTCAAGACTATAATTTTAGGGGGAAGTTTAGTTTAGACACAAAATAGCTCTTAGACATCCAAGTGGAGCTGTTGACTTGCTAGTGAATTTAGGAGTCTGAGTTTCAAGGAAAAGTTCATGGCTAGAGATGTAAATTTGGGAGCCATCAGTATAACCTTGAAAGCCACGGGGCTGGATAAGATCACCAAGTGAATGAACATAGAGAGAAAAGTGAAGAGGACAAAAGACTGACTCCCAAGCCACTCCAACTTTAAGGGGTAAGGTAGGTTAGGAGTAACGAGAAAGAAGGCTCAGTAAAAGGGGCCATCAGGTAGGACGGACACAAGAAGAATGTGCTTCCTGGGAGCCAAGACAAGAGAGTGTTTCAAGGGGCAGGGACTGAATAATTTGGCCAAATGCTACTGATAAAAATGTTGAGAACTGACTTTTGGGTTTAGCCGCATGGAGGTCATTGGTGAACTTGAGCAGTTCGGTGCCGTAGAGAAGGGCAAATGCCCAAACGAAGGTTCAAAAGAGAATGGAGGGAAGAGAAACTGGAAGCAATAAACACAGGCAATCCTTTAGAGGGTTGCTTTAAAGGGAAGGAGTAGAAAGAGGGTGGTAGCTGGAGAGGGAGGGAGAATAAAGAAGTACGTGTTATCGGCCTGTTTACACGCCTCTTGGAAAGGTCCAGGGGAATTTACAGGCAGAAAATGAAAGACTCTGAGAAAAAAAAAGCAAAATATCCTCTGGAACCAGGTCTGCATGGGCCACTGAACTGATCCACACATGGTTCCTTTATCAATGAGGAAATGTATTGTGGGAGTGAAGGTGCCTGGGTTAGACCTTAGCCGCCTAATGCCTTAAAGGTTTCAGATTCAAGAGGCAGAAATAATGAGCCTGTCAAATAGCTAAAGTGGAGGTTCTCTACTGATCAGTGAAGCCAACATGCAGTCTTGGTGGCATTTTCTGAGACGTTCTTTTAGAGGGGAAGTTGTCGTTGTCATTATCATTATCATTATCATCATCATCATCAACAACATCATCATCAAGAAGCCAATAAGTGCCTAATTTATCCTACCACCTCATAAATTAAAATACAGGGCTTTGTTCCCTGGGGAAGCTGGTTGTGTATAAGTACAAGGAGTCTGGAAGGTCAGAGATGGGGAGAAGATGCGAGTGGGGTAGAGGCAGAGGGCTTTTGCCAAACCATCCTGGCCCCAGTTCTTGACTTTCACCCTGCCTCTCCAAGCGCTGAAGTGGCTCACTCTTTCCTACTTCTTCCTCCTTCGCTCTCTGCGCCCCCTACTTCTCCTTTTGCTGTTTTCTGTCAGTGGAGGGGGTGGTTATGAAGATCGCCCGGGCTCCTGCTTGCCTCTTTGCCTATAGGCGCACGGAAGGGGACGGAGACCCTTGAAACTCCAGTGGGGCAGGAGCTGGCGTTCTGAGCATGTGCAAACAAGCCGGGGGGGCTGGGGCGGATGTGGGGAGCCGACCTCGGTCCCTGTCCTAAGCGCAGAGCAAGAACTCGGTGAGCGCAGGGCCTGGCAGCACTCTCCGGAGCGGTGCCCCTGCGCCCAAGGCGCAGCGGCTGCGCCCTGCCCTCCAGGCGTGGGCGAGGTGGCCGCGTGTGCTTCGCTGCTTGACACGAGGACGAACCAATCAGGGCGAGCAGCCCGGGCTGCCATGTGACGGGCAAGGCGGCTCCTTTCCCCAGCGCGGCCAGAGGGAGGACAGAACCGGGGCTCGCCGCGAGCCTTCGAGAGCAGCGGTAGCGGAGGAGGCGGCGGCGGCGGCGGCACAGGCTCGGGCTAGCCGTGCGCGCATCCCCCGGCGCCCTGCGCGGCAGAGAGCTTGTCGGGCCGCGGGAGCCAGGACAGGAGCGGACAAAGCAAGATGGCAGGGATCTTAGCCTGGTTCTGGAACGAGAGGTTTTGGCTTCCGCACAATGTCACCTGGGCGGACCTGAAGAACACGGAGGAAGCCACCTTCCCGCAGGCTGAAGATCTCTATCTGGCTTTCCCCCTGGCCTTCTGCATCTTTATGGTGCGGCTCCTCTTCGAGAGGTAAGAAAGGCTGGAGCGCTCCTCCCCTCCCCCTAAACACACACACACACACGCGCGCACACACACACGCACACCCTCGCGCGCACACGCACACTCGCGTGCTCTGTGGCGCACGCCCCCGCGCCCCCAGCGCTCTCGCTCACGCCTCCCAACCTTTGTGTTCGGGGAGGGGTCGGTGACCCCTTAGTCCGGCTGCCGCCCTGGGAGCCGGAGAGGGTCTGGCTTGCCTGCGGATTTTCTCCGGGCGCCCGGGAGGGGCCGCGGAGCCTCGGGGTTACCCCCGCACTTCCACGGTTCCTTGGCCCGCTGTCTCCTCGCAGCGAGGGCAGGCGAACAAAGGTGAGCGGCGGCCGGCCGCGGGACGCGCCGCGCTCCGCGGGGCTTGTGTTCCCCTGCACCCGGCGGGCACGCCGCTCTGCCGGGCAGGACTTCCCCGCCGAGGCTCGCCGCCACCCACCTGACAGCCAGGAACGTTCCGGACGCGCGTCCGGGCGGGCGGAGGAGCCGCGCACACTTCCATTCCTTTCACCCCGGCACAGGGATCGTAGGGACTGTGCCTCACGAATTCGCCAGGGACGCACTCCTTAGCTTCTGGCCGCTATTTGGTTTCCATCAATGACACTGAGAGCCAGGCCCACAGTCCTGGGACATAGGTGACAATAGTTTGTAGATTTTCAAACCTAGAGGCCATTAGCGGTTTCTTTGAAAGAGGATAGGACAAGAAGGGTGCACAGCCTGCGAAATGGTCATATTAAATGGATAGAGACTCCCTGTGAATAATCATACACTTTTATTTTGGTACCAGAACTCAACACTTTTTCCAAAATTGAAGTATTGTGTTTATAAGTCTCAGATTTGGTTGGGTAGCTCCACTGTGTCACGAACAAACTTGTTTTACTCTTAACTGAATCAGTCTTAGTCACTAAAGTACTTTTTTGCTAGCCACCGCTCTCTGGGTGTTATTGAAACAAAACCGGGGCAGCAGCACACACTTCTTTTTCTCAACTGGAAACCTTGACACCCCTTACTTTCCACCTCCCCCTCACCCCTTTTCAGTAGAGGCTGAATTTCTGAGATCCCAGAGTAGAGTTCAGACTCCCTTGCTCACTACACTCAGCATCTCTCCTCCCCTGCCCCCAGCTCACCTTGGTTTTGTTCCTTAAGCTTTTGCTCTGTTATTTTGTTTGCTGTTTCTGTTTTGTGCAAAACCACTTTTGAGGATGGTCGAATTTGTCTTTTGTGTCATTTGTTGCTGGAAATGGCAACAGACAAAGCTTCATGGGAACAAAAAGTATCTTTTGTTTAAGGAAGGTACATTGTTCAATAGGCAATATTGTTGCTTAAGAACTAAGGGAGCTGTTCACATGCAGAGATTGACGTGAACAAGGGAACAGATTTAAAGACCTATTTTAAAATGATTTGAATCCAGCACCAATGCGTCATTGAGCCTATCTAGCACGGAGACTTACTGTGAAACAGTGGTTGTATTTGCTGGTTTAGGTTGCTTTTAGAGCAGATGTTTACTCACAGAAAATAGGAACTCATGTCTAACCTTCCAGTTGCTCCAAACACAGTCTCTCAGGAACAGCAGGCTGCTCTGTGTTGACACATAGTAGGGGCTCTGCACAGTTGCGGAATGTTATCCGATCAATTCTGACTGATAAATCCTGGCTGGGATCACTTTTAGCTAGCTAATGTATTGGAAAGAGATGTGTATTTTATGTTTTGGAAAACAAAAGCATGTCAGCTAATGACCTGTGTGCAGAAAGCTGATTCCAAGCTGTTTATTAGGTTGGAGAAAAATAAAATTAGGGAATGGATTTAACTTTGAACTTAGACTTCCTTTGCTTAAAAAAAAAAACAATTAAAAACCAATGTAACAGCTGAAAACTGAAAGTTCATTTTTCCTCTTTCTCAACATTTCTTTTTCCCCTTCTTTTGCACAATCCCATGACTTAGAGTTGACACAAAGGGATAAGGCTGCTTTCAGCTATCAGTCACAGCAAATGTCTTCATATTGATATGTAGAGAGTTGGTCAGTTTCTTTCAGGCCACTGATGCAAGTAGAGGTGATTTAATGGCCAGTATGGAAAGTGAAAGTTTATGGTTAATGTTCAGAATAATAATTCAGTGGGGTCCATATACCACGGGATGCTACTGACTTTTGGAATGGTGTCTACTTTGTTTCTTACTGTAGTAGTGACAGCTCTGTTTTCAGACTCTCTTGAAAATCCAACTGTATACTCATATCCAGAATTACAAGTTCAGCATGTTTCTGCTCTTCTCAAACCTAAATGACAAATTCTGGCATCCAACCGGTGGTCTTTTTCTCAGCATCTATCAAAGGCCTGAATCATCATAACTTCAATGAATCGATATTCTTATCACTGGTATGACTCACTTTCAGTACCCATCTAACATGTTCTGCACACATCTCTTTCATTTGTGGTATTCGGCAATGTGTAACATGACTTAAAGGAGCCTATTGTATATCCCTTTGTAAAGTGAAATGCTTTTACAATATGCACAATTCCTTCTGGATTCTATCCCTTTTTCTTCTTCCATTGCCATTTATTTAAAAGCTGAGAACATATCTATGAAGTACCTGATTATCCAAGATCTCTGTTTTCATTAAATGGGGTCTATGGTGCCCTTGTTGAAGCTAAAACTGTGAATTTGATAACCTTCTCCTCCGTCTTATGTATTTCTCTCTATAAAGTGAAACACTCAAGAATTGACTGAATTGGGCTTTTGCCCAGTTGAACATTTCTTTTTATTTTCCCCCTTAGTGTTGGGGTGTTGGCAGTGGAGGCATTGGTGGCCAGAACAATGCCATGTTATGGTACCATATGGACAACAATATGGATGCCCAGCATGGTTGGTTAAAAATGGAGCAGCCTCAATTCAATGACTTTTGGCTGTGTCTGTGCATATCCCCAAACTTGGTGGTTTTAAGCATAGCTAACCTTCACACTACACTTAGTTCTGGGTGGGGGCAGGAAGACCCACTGTAACTATTACTTGATTGACAGTAAAATAGCTGTTGTGAAAAAAAAATAAACTGGATGGTTTCTCCTAGAATGAAAATTGTAGTGTATACCATTGTACTATGTTGTTGGCTTGATGATGAGGAACAAAATATTATTTAATAATGTACCACTATCATCTATTTGATGAATTTTCTTGATTTAATGCTTGTTTAGGCTCAGTAAGACGTTCTTTGGAATTTTACTAAATGCTTCTTCCAAATTCAATTTTTAAAAAAATGTGTGTTGCTATGGTATTCATAAATGTGGGATTAAACTTTTGCTGAATTTCTTTTTGGGAATAAAAATTCTTTGAGTTATTGTTTTAAAAGGTAACATTAATACATTTTCTTCCTTGTAGTTTTAGGAGAGAGATGCAGAAAGTACTGATTGCGAATGAGAACATTCAAGTTCTGGTAAAACTTACCTCAAATGGGAGCAACCACCTAATTTCTCTCTGCCTTATTTTCTCATCTATGCAGTGAAGCAGCTGGCATTTGTAATCTAAGGCTGCTTTCACCTTCCCAATTATCAGAATCCTGTAGCTTACTAATTATTATCTCATCAAACTTTGAAGCAGGGTGAACATCATTTTTTGCAGGCAGCAATAAGTCATCTAAGAATAAAGAGATTTTTTTTTTCCTTACAAATTTTCTAGGCAATCGTTTTGTTTCTTGTATTTTTCAATTATGATTTGAGTTAAAAGGATCATTTGGGCTATTATGATTTGTGCTCCAAAAAGCTACAGTATTTCAGAAGAACTAACGAAGAAGATTCTGCAGAGAAAGCAATGGCTCTTTCCTCAGGCCTTTTTTAGATGGACCTGGAGTAGACCTGATACATCTTGTGCTGGCTGGATAAGAACTGAGAAGCTCATTCCTGTCAGGTTGGCTGTCAGAGCGGCATGCAGTGTGGAAACTGTCGTTCTTCAGGAGGCTCACATCAGTTTGCTTTGACTCATTTAGCCAAATAATGACCTGCTGCCCCAAACCTTCAAGGGAACGACAGTGTCTCATTGATGTCAGAGGGACTATCTGGCCAGTGGGCTTTCCTTATGGGTGTACTTAATATACAAGTATTTGCCTTGCTAGCAGCCTTGGATGAGGCAGGAGAGGAGAGGAAAAGGGAGGTGAGAGGCAGAAGGAAGGGGAGGGCAGCAATGTATTCCTGATGGTTAGAGGGGAGAGGAGAGGTGTGAGTGAATGACTGCCAGGAAAACGTGGGGTCAGGTGAGTTTCACTATTGAAGGATCTTCCTATAATGTACCTTGAAATGAAGAGACTGATTATGATCAGATATATTTTAAAAGAGTGTGCAGTGGAGTGAATGTTCATGTCCCCTCAAAATTCATAACTTGCAATCCGAACCTCCAAGGTGATAGTAGTAGGAGGTGGGGCCTTTGGGAGGTAATTAGGTCCTGAGGGTGGAGCCTGTGTGAATGGGATTAGTGCCCTTATAGAAAAGGCCCCAGCAAGCTCCCTCGACCCTCCCACCATGTAAGGACATAGTAAAAAGATGTCTGTGAACTAGGAAGATTGTCCGCACCAGACACCAGATCTGCTGATGTCTCAATCTTGGACTTTCCAGTCTCCAGAACTGTGAGAAATAAATTTTTGTTATTTATAAGCCACCAGCCTATGGTATTTTATTATGGCCGTCTGAATGGAGCAAGACAGAGTATTTGAGAAAAACTTGCATCCAAATATGGTTTTTCTCATGCAGTCTTAGTCCTGGATTTTTAACTCTGTAAATGTACTGTTTCACTTGTTAAATGATGGCGTGATTCTGATTGAAGCTGTGGATACCTGCTTTGCCAGACTGGTGTGAGAGGCAAGGGCTGGGCTCAGACACAAGTAGGTTGCCTCCTGCGATTTCTGACTGGGATAGGAAAATCGGATTACAGTGGTTGTTTTATTGGAAAACAACCTAAAATCAAAGGGAATGGTATTCTCTGCAGAACTTTAGTACAGCTTT